ATCATAAAAAGACAGATCGAGTTCGAAGATGAGCATTCTAGCTCAAAAATTGGCTTTTTAAAAAATCAAAAACTACAGGTCGCAATATGTATTTTTATCAAATATTTTTTTATGGGTTCCTAAGGGGTAACTCGTCAAAGTAGAGCCCCATGGGCGAAAATTTCGTCCGTTTGGCTCTATCTTGTACCGTTTAGGTGCTAGGGGGCAATTCTTGGCAAAAATGAGGTGAAAATGATCAAATGGTCGATTAAATCGTTAAAAAGACTTCATTTCGAAAAATTGTATATACACTCCTATTACCCCGTCTTGGGTGTCAGCGCCGCAGGCCTAGCTATATGTGCGCCAGGCGCGTCACAGCGTAACAGTGTTTCGTGAGATATCGCGAAGCCTGTTACGCGAGACGTGGTCTGGCGTATATATAGCTAGTTACTGTTACTACTTGTGTTGCTTTGATGTATTTTATTTACAAATTGGCTTTCTATTGACATTTCAGTCAAGACTGGGACAAAATCTGGAGGCAAGAAAAAAGGAACAATACATGAACCAACTATTGCGAACTTGAGAGAGAAAGCGGTTAAATTGTTTGATGTACCTGCCTCTAAACCACTCACCAAAATTCGCAAGACCGTAGCAATAAAACAGCAAGCTGTTAGACCATTTCTAAAAAATCAGACTCGATCATCTCAAAAGCGGGATTTGGGTATGTTTCCTCTTGCTCATATATTTACCTGAATGTAAGACTCCTCAAGGTCAAAACACAGTGAAGAATGTTATCTCAAGTCATCAAAAGTATGCGACTTTAACATGATTATGCTGATATGCTCATATTATTCTTACAGCATGTGAAAATGACTATTCAGAGGGGGAGGATAGCCCTGAATCTTATGAAGTAGAGTGAGTGACTTTCACAACAATGTGGTAGCTAAAAACATCAAACTGATGTTTTACTGACCTGTTTGATTTCAGTAATTGATGACTTCGAATTTGACACCCTACATGAAGTGGAAGAGAAAGTTAACAAGATAATTCGTGGAGCGAATGCAAGGTCAAGGACTTCGGATGAAGACCTCGCAGACATTGCTGCTTTGAAAGCGGCAGGCGTGCTCCTGCCTAATGGTCTTGTCCCATTTTCTCCTTACATCAATGAAGATGGTGAAAAGATGCTCACTGATTTGGACTAGTTTTGTTTGTTATCACTTTGGTCGCATTTTATAACTTTGATGTATAGAAGGCTTGGGTATAGTCAATACAAAATCCTGTTGGTAGTTTTTCTGATACCTTTTTCATTTAACTGTTTTTACATCTTTTATAACTTTTTTCTGTGATTGTAGAATCATTTTGTGTAATGCGTGCCTTATCTCTTAATATCTATTAAGATATTGAAGACTCTAAGCCATTGAAAGTAGCAGTGATCTTCCCCCTGTATAGATATATTTGCCTACTGGCGATGTATCGTATGTCAATGGACAAGATGTCCTACATAATTGTTGATTATTTTTTTTTTGTGATTGTGAAATTATTTCTTACAATGTGACTTTGTAAAAATTTGTTTCAACGAAGATATCATCAGTCTTTTGTTACCTTTTCATTTAACTGTTTTTACATCTTGTAACTTTTTTTTATTGTGAACTACAAATCATGTCTTTAAGGGGGGATCCTAGTGTAACGGGCCTAAAATAGGGGTGTTTTCGAGATTTTTTTAAAAAGAAACTATTGCTCCGCGGGAAAAACCCAATACACTGTTCATAGAAAACTACTTTAAAGAAAAAATCACCCGGTGTGTGTTGCCAAGACCCCCCGGGGTTCGGAGATTCAGCACGCTGAAGATGGCGCTACGCGCCTGCAGTGGTGGAACGGTGTGCACGATTAAGGCCGAACCGTTTGTCCGAAACAGTCGCGCAAATTATTTTTAGACTCAGGAGGAAACTGGCTATCGTCCCTACCTCGACGAACTCTGAGAAAAAAAAAATTGTATTTTTTAATCACGTTTGAATCTAAAGTACCGAAAAAAAAAGCAAAAAAACTCATAGTTTTCTTTTTTCTTTTTCAGTGAAGTGCTTGACTGATATCGGATTCTAAGGTAGGGACGATAGCGACATGTCTGACACACATTCAAAAAAAATCCCATACGGGTGGGGCAATTTGTTTGGGCGCAATCGTGCACACCAGTTCGAAAAATGGCGAACGGAGAAAAAAGCGTTTAAAGTTTCAGGATAAGGGTATCCATGCAGAGTTACAGGGGCTCAAAGTCGTTCCACGGGCGGGAAAATTTAATTGGACGCCCGGGCCGACTCGGGTCGCATTCAAGGCACCCAAAAGGACATTTTAAGCGAAAAAAAAAATAATTCGATTTTTTGAGCCTGCTACACTAGGATCCCCCCTTAAATGTGACTTATCTTTTAATGTCTTTTTGTAATAATGATATTGAAGACAATAAAACATTGAAAGAAGCAACGATCTTCCCCCTATCCTGATCTATTAGCCAACTGGCAATCTATCCTTTGCTTTGCCAATTTATTTCTTAAAATGTGACATTGAAAACATGTGGTTATAATGAAGACAATATTGAGTCAAGGAATCTGTCCCCTATATTTAGTGTATTTGTTTACTTACAGTCTTTTGTATGTCAATGGATGCTGTTTGGTTCAGTAACCTTTCATAAACCTTTATATAAAAAGTTTTTGCCGTGAGTCTTTATTTATTATTGTACATCTGGTAAGGTAGGGCGAGGCCCTGTATTGGACATAAATATACATAGTGGAATAGTGGATATGATGGCATCTGGAAGAATCTAGAGGCAACTGTTGTAGTACACACTATTACGACCATATTTGGTGGACTTAATGGGGGAATGTTCATGTTGTTGGTTGGTCGATTGTTGTGAGAGTGGATATTGAAGTTTTGGATGATGTGGGTTGTTAGGAGTTTGTTTGATTGCAGAGGATTGTAAATTATTAAGGCAATTATTTTGGAGATGGTTTTGAAAGGGGTAATTTTGATTGTAGGATATAACTTAATGGAGGGGAGGAGGCAAGGTAATCTATGGATGGACTTGAGAACTCCTTTTTGTAGTGTGGTGATTCTTGTAGAAATGGTCTTATTGGCAAGAGGCCAGATGCCACATTAGTATGAAATGTGAGCATGAAAGTAGGCATAATACATACATGGTCTTTAAGGTACATACATCTAAAGTATTATGGAGGCGATAAATAAGTCCAGCAGCCGCTCTAAGCTTCGGAGTCAGGTGATTCAGATTTCAGATTATTTCTGTTCCATGACGTGTACTTTCAACTGTGTGTCCTTCGATAACATCCAAGTTGTCTTAATTTAAAAAAAATGGTCAGTAAGGAATCCTTTTTATTTCCTTGAGGAGTCCTAAACTTTATTCTTTCCAATTTTACATTATTCCATACATTTTACTGCAGGGTGATGCAAGAATTAACGTTTTGTTATGTTAAGTTATGATTAAAATAAAGATTAGAGACCATGCAGAGAGATGCAGGAAATGTATATAATGCTGTTAATTTAGACGTTTTATCATTTAAATGACGTTAGGAATCTCCACAAGATCAACTTCCTTTCAACACATGGGGCATTTACCGGCATGAGCAAGCCACATGTCAAGGCAAAGCCAGCATGATACAGCTACACACCGGTCACATTTAGTTGGTATTTCAGGAGGTGCAATCAAACATATAACACAACCTACAAGAAGAAAAAGAGAACCATACAGCAATCTGCCTTGACAAACATTCAAAATATAATAACAATTTATGGATTTGGTTTCCACACCCACACTTACGTATTTCATCTCCATTGGCATTGCCAGCCACATTACTGACTTCCTGACAGTCTGTAAGAACCAAAGGCAATTAATGTATCATATTTAAAAAGTGCGATGATTATTCCCTTCATACTAAGTTGACATTGGACAGTGAAACAACCAGTATTTACTGATGTTTCCATGATTAATTAACGAGGTGTACATACCTGGTGCTGTAGGGATTCCCTGGTAGGTGGGGACTGACTTCTCTAAAGCTGTTTCTTGATGAAGGCTGATGTTATTCTTCTGGCTAGTGTGAACTGAAGTTACCAAGGCAATTTCTTGATCAAGGCCCAAATTGGGATTATTGACCTGCAAAAATTGCAATCAAAGAAATAATACACAAGTACCATGAAATTAACAGGATTTAGCAGTCTAAGGAGATGTGCAATAACATACATGGGAAATGTTATCAAGGTTAGGAGGGAAAATTGTAGAAGAGGATGATACAGGAGGAGCAAATAATTGTAATTGCAATTGTTGTTGTAATTGCGATTGTTGTCTGAATGCTAGTTGTTGGAGGGCCAGTTGCTGGATGGCCAAAGTCATCACAGGTGGTGTGCAAAACATTGCAGGTTGCATGCCAAATCCTGGGGGTTGTGGTGGAATGTCGAAATAAGGCCACGACACGTTGGGAGGATTGCATCTCATCCTCATCCGCTTCGAATTGTTCTTCCTGTAGCCTGGCATCGTTAAACGAAAAGAAAACTAAACGAACTACCGATCTTTAACTTCGTATGTAATAAAAGTAAATAGTCATTGAAGGAAGGAGAAAACATTCAGTCTTGCCACGTTTACGGAATGATCCTCCCCTGATGAAGACTTTAAAAACATCCACTTGGTGCAAATTGGACGCCGACGATCAGGAGATCCTCCCCTGATGAAGACTTTAAAAACATCCACTTGGTGCAAATTGGGAGAAACCTGGTTTATGCTAGTATTTTTGATTTTTTAGTTACTGCACCACCAATAAAACCAGCCAGTTTGGCGACAACCAAACCCATCTGTGTTTTCTAGTTTCTACGGGATTCTAGATGCCGACTGGGTTGGTGGTTGTCTAATTGCTGAAACCAACAAATGAATGGCCACATTATTTATTCCCGCCATCAGTTCTTTGGTGTTGTCTTGGTTGGTCGGTCGTTTCGTTTGTCTATATGTCTGTGTAGCGGTTGGGATGCTTGGATTTTGGCCAGTGTAATCTGCTTCTGAGAGATGTATTTCAAGCCAAAAATGAAAACATCGTATCGCTATCGAGTTATTCTGTAAGATTCATTTCTGCACTTTACCTGAATTGTGACTTGTTTGTTGCTACTGGTACTAGGATAATAAAATCTAAATGTCGTTATTTTGCCCCTTTTACAGACTACTATACATCCTGAACCTGTTTTCCTACGATCCAAAATGTGTCATTCCAGGGCAAAGTGGATTTTCATGAAGAGTAAAGCGTGCTGAATCTAGTGGCACTCGATGCCCCAACCTCACATAAAAACTGGCCCAGCAAATGAGAGTGATCAAAAATGATACACTGTGACGTTAGCGGGGATGTTGTGACGCGCGACCCGCGGCGTAAAACCGCTGAGCATTCTTTATATTTTACAAGTGTACATGTCTTGCTAGTGATCCCGCAACCCGTGCGGTACCAACCATGTTTTTAGAACCGCGCTGCGACCAAATTTCGCATGTATCAAAAATGATACGCTGTGACGTTATGGGTATGTTTGGACGCGCGACCCGCTAGGTAGACCAGATGAGCACACTTTACACTTTACAAGTGTATATGTCTTTCTAGTGTTCCCGCAACCCGTGCGATGCCAACCATGTTTTAAGAACCGCGCTGCGACCAAATTTCGAATGTACCAAAAATGATACACTGTGACGTTATGGCTATGTCTGGATGTGCGACCCCTGGGTAGACCCGAAGAGCACACTTTACACTTTACACGTGCACGTCTTGCTAGTGATACCGCAATCCGTGCGGTGCCAACCATGTTTTTAGAACCGGCGCTGCGACCAAATTTCGCATGTATCAAAAATGATACACTGTGACGTTAGGAGGTATGTTTTGACGCGCGACCCGCGGGGTGGACCCGATGAGCACACTTTATATTTTACAAGTGTACATGTCTTGATATTGATCCCGCAATCCGTGCGGTGCCAACCATGTTTTTAGAACCGCGCTGTGACCAAATTTCGGATGTATCAGAAATGATACGCTGTGACTGACACTCCGGTACAGTTCCTGTACTGTTCCGGGTGCTCTGGACTAGCCCAATATGCTTCACATGTCATCCACAAGCCTCACCACGTATCTACGGACCATTAGAATCTCATGGAAAAAATGTCAAAAAACGACAAAAAAATGTGCCTCTACGTCACGGACGTTCATTTTTGATACACACAACTTTGCAAGCGTGTCACAATGTGAGTTTTTGAGATATCCTCGATCTATCTTCGGCGCTGCCTACTTTGGACCTTTGCCAACAAAACATGACCACTACCATGAAAATCCGACCCCCCTACCCACAGCTATAGGCGCTGCAGTTAGGCCCTGCATGGACCCCCTCGCAGGCCTGTTTTTGGCGCGCCACAGCAACCCACACAAAGCACTCATGGGGTCGTAAGTGGTATGGATAGATTCGTTTGGACCTCCTCAAACGTATCCATGACAAAAACGTGATGTACCTCACAAGTAGACGGCTCCAGGCCGTGTTTTATGAGGTGTATCAAATTTGATACCTTGTGACGTACAGGGTTAAATCAAATTTTTGAGCTAGAATGCTCTACTTTGAACTTGATCTGTCTTTTTATGATACCAAACGACCCTGAAAATCCCAGGTCGCTAGCTCAATTCGTTCTCGAGTTATCGTGATGACAGACAGACACACAGACAGACGCGAAACTTTTTGATCATCACTGGAGTAATAGGCTTCGCTAATCGCTCAGCCAACTAATTTTCTTTTGTTTTTCCAGGTGCAGAAGCGAAGCGGACACACTTGGCGGTTCCCTACCGTTCAAAGAATAATCTGGGACAGGACCAGTGGCATTGGACAGCTCGGCTTCCTCAACAACAGCGATGGGCGTGGGCGTAGGCGTCACATCGTCAGGTTTGTTAAAATTTTCGTGGAATTGTTCTGCATCAAAATGCGAAAGAATTCAATACAAATATAGATTTTAAATATGCTAAAGTTTGTAATGATTTTGGAAAGTTTTTACCTACCACTACCACTCAAAAATAAAGATATATTATTAGGATCATTGGCTGAGCGATTAGCGAAGCCCATAACTCCACTGACCGGAAAAGTTTCATTCTGTTAGTTTGTTTGTCTGTCTGTCCGCACGATAACTCAAGAAAGAATTGAGAGAGCGATCTGGGAATTTCAGGGTCGTTTTTTATCATAAAAAGACAGATCGAGTACGAAGATGAGCACTCTAGCTCAAAAATTGACTTTTAAAAAAATCAAAAACCACAGGCTGCAAATTTTTTTTTCGAATATTTTTTTATGGGCTCCAGAGGGGTAACTCGTGAAAGTAGAGTCCATTGGGCGAAGAGGCCTGGCCCTGAACTGTCCTTGTATACCTGAACAAGAAATGTAAATAACATCATTCACTAAACTGAAAGCTGATGGTATAACCACATTTCAAACACAACAGTTGTTGTGCAAAAATTAAAATAAACACTAAACTATAAGTTTATGAAAATAGCATGTGTAAACATTTGAAAGGTGCTTATTATCTTAATGGATAGCTTGCTATACGATATTCGTCCAAAATATCATGGAACGATACAAGTCGTGCTCCATCTATTTCTTGAAGAAGGTTTTCACGGAAGTGCCTTTCACCAACATAATTTGGATCTGGGTGGTGATTGTGTGGCTTGCTGTGGCGAAAGCCATGACCAAATCTGAAAATGGCCCGCCCTGAGCATCTCAATGTGTGTGACATCACGCATTTGAAATAAATTGAAGTTCCTGTTTCCAAATTGACGTGGTATGCGTGCGTGTGATCCATCACCAAGATGGTAATAATGGGACCCTGCTCGGTACCCATTTTCTCTAATTAAAAAGTTTTTTTTCTCAGCTGGACAAAATCTGTGACGTAAAGGGTTAAAAAAAATCAAAAACCACAGGTCCCCAAAATGACGTTTTTTAAAATTATTTGTTTTAATGTTTCCTAAGGGGTAACTCATCAAAGTAGAACCCGATGGGCAAACATTTCGTCCGTTTGGCTCTATCACTTACCGTTGAGGCGCCAGACACTGTTTTCCACACGGAAATGACCCCAAACCATTTCAATGTTTTTCTCAAATATTTCGTGGTCTCTGAAGGGTCAACTCGTCAAAATAAAACCCTGGGGAGCGATAATTGTTACTTTTGGGGCCGGGGGCCTATTTACGACTCTTTCTTTTGCCCGACTCTGGTGTCAGCGCCGCAGGCCTAGGTAGATGTATGCCAGGCGGTCGCAGCGTAATAGTGTTTCGTGAGATATCGCGAAGCCTGTTACGCGAGACGTGGTCTGGCGTACATCTACCTAGTACTAGCTATACGTACGCCAGACCACGTCTCGCGTAACAGGCTTCGCGATATCTCACGAAACACTGTTCCGCTGCGACGCGCCTGGCGCACATATAGCTAGGCCTGCGGCGCTGACACCCGAGACGCAGGGTGGCCACGAAATCGGAGTTTTCAAATTCCGTGACTTTTCCCTGACCTTTTCCTGACTTTTTACGCATATTTCCTGACTTTTAAATGTATTTTAAGTGGAACTTTTTTCCTCCCAAAAAATTGAAAATGCCACCGGAAGTTTGACAACAATATGGGGCAAGATTCAGTCATTTTCCCTGACCAACATTCAATTTCCCTGACTTTTCCCTGACTTCCCTGACCAGTATTATTTTCCCTGACTCTTCCCTGACTTCCCTGACTTCCATGTTGCGTGGCAACCCTGGAGACGGGGGAATAGGAGTGTATATACAATTTTTCGAAATGAAGTCTTTTTAACGATTTAATCGACCATTTGATCATTTACACCTCGTTTTTGTCAAGAAATGCCCCCTAGCACTTAAACGGTACAAGATAGAGTTAAACGGACGAAATTTGTGCCCACCGGGCTCTACTTTGACGGTTTACCCCTTGATAACCCATAAAAAAATATTTTGTTAAAAATTCATTTTGCGACCTGTAGTTTTTGATTATTTTAAAAGCCAATTTTTGAGCTAGAATGCTCATCTTCGAACTCGATCTGTCTTTTTATGACACAAAACGACCCTGAAAATTTCATGTCGGTAGCTCAATTCGTTCTCGAGTTATCGTGCGGACAGACAGACAAACACTCAAACAAACAGAATGAAACTTTTTCGTTCAGTGGAGTAATGGGCTTCGCTAATCGCTCAGCCAATAAGGACCGAATCTATTATTTTCAAGATAAATGGTCTAAGGGATACCCGTGGCTACATTAAGATGGTGCATTAAAATCTGTCGTTTGCTTGCCTTGCAAGGTTGCTGTCAATGGTAAATTGCTTTCAGCATCCCAGATGGCGGCCGCTCAGAAAGCAGGAACAGATCTCGTTTTTGGACCCGGTGTTAAGAACTGGAAAAAAGCAGCTGATTTATTTGAAAAACACTCAAAGGCTATTTACCACAACGATGCTGTGAAAGTCCTTGTTGCGAAACAAGGACAGCCACATTCGTCCGTCGCTACGCAAGTCACTTCCGCTCGCAATGAGCAGCAAAACCAGGCAAGAGTCGCTTTGGAGGCAATAATGAAAAGTATGCTTCTTCTTGGTCGGCAGGGGGTGGCCATGCGCGGTAGCGACAGTGACGGGGGTAATTTTAATGCCCTTTTGCAGCTACTCACCCAGTACTGCCCTGAGCTGAAAGATTTGTTAACACGGAAGAAAAATTGTACCTCGCCACAGATTCAAAATGAAATAGCCCAGATTGCCGCCCATAAAATACTTAATGATAAGCGCGAGCAAATAAGAAACTCCGAGTTTTTTTCCCTCATAATGGACGAGGCATCCGACGAAGGTACAAAGAAGCAAATGTCCATTAATGTTCGTGTTGTCAACGAAGATCTCGAATCAGAAGAAATTTTTCTTGGGCTCTACGAAGTATCGTCTACTACTGGTGAAAATCTAATCAAAGTTGCTCTCGATGCTCTCACAAGACTCCAGCTGCCCCTTGCAAATTTGAGAGGGCAAACCTACGATGCTGGCAGCAACATGAGGGGCGCCGTGAAGGGAGTTCAGGGCCGAATCAGGGAACTGCAGCCACTTGCAGTGTATGTTCACTGCTTCAACCATAGCTTAAATTTGGCTCTACAAGACACCGCAAAGAGTGTATGTATGATTTTTTTTAGAATAAAATACCAAGTGAATTTTATTATTATTTTCATTATCATGGCGCTTTTAAAATGGATCTTAAAGCTCCTTTTTAATTTTTCCAGGTTACTCTTGTGAGAGACTGCACGGACTGGACAAGGGAAGTGGCTAATATGATAAGGCGGTCACCCCACAGACGAGCAATGTTCGACACCTTTGCTCAAGAGCATCCAGAGGCTAAAGGTACCAACTTGCAGCCAGTGTGCGCCACGAGGTGGACCATGCGGACTCCTGCGACTACAGGAGTATTAGACAACTACCCAGCAGTTATTGAGACGTTGGACGAGATCGGTGCTTCGACGGCAGACGGAGCGACAACAGCTGCAGGCCTGGCCGGCAAACTTAAGAAAGGTTCAACTTACCTCGGAATTCTTTTAAGCAGAGAAATTTTTAGCCCCTGCGAGTTGGCCAGCACCAAACTCCAGAAGCCAGGACTGACAGTGAGTGAAGGACTAGAAATTATAGAGCTTCTCTACGGTCGGTTCCACCTCCTCCTCGTCATCCTCATCCAGTGAGCGCTTGGATGGCCCCGGCTGAGGTGAACGGGGGGCGGAGGGGCCGGCCTGTGGGGTAAAAAAATATTTTTTAAGCTCCTACAAGTGTTGATAGATTATTTAACCTAGAACAAAAACCTGTTCTAGGACGTTTGAAAATATTTTTTTACCTCCGAAAACGCATCATTTTTTACATTTTAGCCTATTTTGGGGCGCTTTTTCTCTTTCCTTATTTTTTACCCAAATGAGGAGTACGCTACAGATATTTTCGACTATTGCAAACGAAAGAGCATGAAAGAAAGACCTTTATTTTCATGCCTTTCAAACGGTCCTCTGACGCTTACGCGTCCACTGAGATGCCTGGATCTTTTCCAATGTAGAGAAAAACCCCTAAAATTCTCGTTTTTCCGGGAATAGAGGCCACAAATAGACTGGTAGACTCAAACGGACTGTGGGAATCGATTCCTTGCGTCAAAATACGTTTAGGGACACCCCGGTCGTGTTTTAAACCAGTTTAAGCGCAGCTACAATATTTTTCCTTAATAAGCAAAACAAAGAAATAAAATGAAACTTTGGGGGTTTTGCGCGACCTCTAAATCGGTAGGTATCAGGCTCAATTTTTTTTCAGAACTCATGTTCGGGTCCATTACCAGGAACGAAATTAATATTTTGGGAAATCAAAAATTATTTTTACTATTGGCACCCCAGCCAAAAGCCACACTTTAGGTAAAATTGGACATTTTGAGCATTATTTGACGCCTAATCAGAGTAACTGAACGACCTCGCGAGCACCCCACGACGGTTTGGGGTCGAAGTACGATGTTTTTACTTACCTCTAGTACCAGTGAGCACCACCTGGTGCCCTTCCAACGGTGTAAAGCGGGTTGCCGGCATTGCACTGTTTTTGCTGTTTTTTTTTTTCGATTTTCAAGGCTCTACTGGGGCATGAAGGAGTGGTCACACAGAAACACGATTTCGCACCGTTAATCACCTCTTTTAGTAGAACATTTTCCACGGTGAGCCGATATCAATATCGAAAAAAGTGTCATTTCGACGGACCTTATACGTGAAGGTGGCCGGCCACTGCCCCTCGCGGAGCTGACCGCGCCTCCAGGCCCCATCGTTTTGATGAAGAGGGGTGAGAATACTCCTAGAATGCACAGTGTGAAGTGCCCCGGGAGTAGTAAGTATGTCACTTTGTCCCGGTCGGCCATTTTATGGCACTATGTCCCGGTCGCCATCTTGAAGGGCTCTAACCTAACCTATTTCGGGGGTATCTTGGAGGGGGTCTGACCCCGTACCAAATTTTGGGGGTATTTTGGGGGGTGCCCAACCCCGTACCTAATTTTTAGGGGTGTCTTTCGAGCACCTAACATAACCTAACCTATTTTTTAACGGTGTCTTGGATGGGCTTAACTCGTACCTAGATTTAGGGGTGGCTTTTGAATGCCTAACTCGTACCTAAGTTCGGGAGTGCAAACCCATCCCCCTCAAAAAATCGAGGATCGACGAAGGGGTGCAAACCCACCCCCCTCAAAAAATCGAGGATTGAACAAGGGTTGCTAACCTACCCCTAAGAATATCGAGGATCGATGGAAGGGCGTAACTCAAGGGTAGTAACATAACCTAACGAGGATCACTGACACGTCACGACACGTCACGGCGCGTATGGGTGATACAAAACCGTGATGCGACACACACATAAGCAAGACGTCAGGATGGCCGAGTGGTTAAGGCGCCTGCCTCAAGTGCAGGTCCCACTTATAGGGACGAGGGTTCGTATCCCTCTCCTGACATTTTGAATTTCCGCGCTTGAGTATGAGAATGTTTGTGGAGAGCCGCGAGCGAAGCGGCAATCGGCATGGCAACGGTGTAGCGCGCCAGACGACGCGTCCTTTCCCGCCGCGAGTCTCTACCCCCACCACGGCGCGCTCGCCCCTCCACAGCCCCGCCACCGCTCCGCGCGGCTCGCCGGCAGCTCGTCGCGTCCGCGGAGCGACTCATTTTGTGTCCAGTGCTTCGCCTGTTCACATCGTTCCAAAATGGCTTTTGGTGAAGTGGTTGTGATTGATCTTTGTAATGAAGATGAAGACGTGGAGGTTGTAGATATCTCGGGAGATGTCTCGGAAGGTGTCTCGGGAGACACTATTATATTGAGTGACTGAGCGCTCGAGGAGGACGTCCTCGCCAACTACGTAAGTACTCGTCCTTCGAAAGTGTGTTGCGCAATCCGATTGATAACGGTTTTTAAACGTGAAACTTTGTGACGCCCTTCCTCCAATTTTAATCCTTATTGCGTTTCAATCGCATATGGAAAAAATATTGAAGAAATAACGTCAATTTTTTAGTGCCCGTTCGTGGCCTTGCCGACTTCACAACAGCCCCAATGGCTACGTGTTTTATGACCCTGTGGGTCTTGGTGAGTCCTCATTAGTGTGAAATGGTTTTCTCACCAGTGTGTGTCCAGAAGTGTGTGTGTGTGTGTGTGTGTGTGAAACTCTTGTGCATGCCTCCTATCACTCTTGAGCCGACGCTATGCTACGCCACGCCAACGGCTTATTTTGAGCTTTCCTGGAATCAAGACGGTGCGCGAGAGGAGGGGGCACGCTTGTTGCTCGGCCTGACCTGTTCAACGAAAATCTTTACACTCTTCACTTGTTTTAACCTGTCGGGGAATACTCTAGAAGCGCACTGTTATTCAAGTAGGTTGAATACTCATCCCCCGGGGCGTGAACCAGATTACAACGCATGGGGGATGAAAGTTATGCGCCCTATTTGGCTGAGTTCACCACCCCCGGGGGATGACTGGGGGATGACTTTTCTCGCCCCACAGCGCGTCCCAGGCGCGGCCCGGGGGATGACTTTTCTCGCCCCACAGCGCGTCCCAGGCGCGGCCTGGGGGATGACTTTCCTCGCCCCGCAGCGCGTCCCAGGCGCGGCCCGGGGGATGACTTTTCTCGCCCCGCAGCGCGTCCCAGGCGCGGCCCGGGGGATGACTTTTCTCGCCCCACAGCGCGTCCCAGGCGCGGCCCGGGGGATGACTTTTCTCGCCCCGCAGCGCGTCCCAGGCGCGGCCCGGGGGATGACTTTTGCCGCCCGACGGCGTGTCGGGTGCCTCCCCCCGGGGAATGGATTTTGTGCAATCAAAATTTTTAAAAATAGGATTTTCGAATTATCTCCCGCTGGTCTGCACCCCACCACCTAGGCCTCAGACCCTCCCCTGAATCCTTGACCCTTGACCTGTGTCGTCTCAACCCTTGTAGGCTTACATCATGGCTGGTTGGGTTACTACATAGCCGCGAGATACGCATGTTGCTGGCAGTGCCGGGAACCGAACCCCG